GTTCGACACACATGCCGAGGTAATAGAGTGAAGGGGATTATTTTGCATATACTTTTAATCATAATTAATTATAATTTAATTATAATTAATTAATCAATAATAATTAATTACAATTATAACTAATAAATAATTAATTATAATTAATAATTATTAATTATAATTAATTAAATAATTATAATAATTGATTATTAATTAATTATAATTGATTTATTAATTAGTTATAATTAATTAATAATTAGTTATAATTAATAAAAATTAATTATAATTAAATAAATAATTATAATTAATCATTAACTAATTATACTTAATTAATAATTAATTACAACTAATAATTATAATTACTTATAATATATAAAAATAAAATAAAATCCCTCTTCTCCCTTCTTTGGCTTAGGGAATTTGGCCGAATGAAGCGCATGGAAGGGAGATATTTACCTTCAAAGCAAGTGAGCTCCCTGTGTTGCTCCCGATCAAAACTTCTGATCCGAGAGGCAGGGGAAGTTTCGGGTGAGGCTTAAGAGGAGGAAGCGGTTTCGTGCTCAAGGGATTGGAAAGAGAGGTCGGGACAATGGAGGGGAAGCTCGGTTTGGATAAGAGGTAGGGATTTCCCTCTCTCTCTCTCTCTCTCTCTGTGAACCGAAAGAAGGATCGGGATGGAGACAAGGGTCGTGGGAGAGAGCTCGGTCGGAAGTAGAGGGATTTCGGAGCAGTGACGAGGAAGAGCGGAGGGGACGGAAGTTCGGTTGTGTGGAAGCAGAAGTAGCGAATGGGAGAAGTTGTCGTGGGAGCATCGAATGAGGGGGTTGCCCTCTCGTTTTAAAGGCACGATCCGGGATGCGATTGAGGCCGGTTTTTGCACAGGAGGTGCGGAGATTCGACGTGAATCGGCGCTGTTGCAGAGTGTCTCGGCGGGATTCCTGCGGGAATTCGGGAGATTTGGGCGGCTTCTCCACATACACGAGGTATGCCATTTTTGTTATTTCTTTCTCTTTTTGTTCTTTACACAGAGGTCAACACTATCAAATGTCAAAAATACCCTCAACCTACTGCCCCTAGCTGTACCAACATAAAAATATCAAGACTACTTGCATCGCACCCAACAATATTTTGCAAATATATCTTTTATTCTGTAGATATTGTTTGATTTTTTTTTTCTAAATATTTCTAGTTATTGGACCAATCCCCTAATTTTAAAGCAAATTTAAATTAATAATATTTATTTTGAAAAAGATTCTCCGATAATCTTAGAGAAAACAAAAGGAGTGACTGAGGGCATTTTGGTCTTTTGGAACACTAAAGCAAGTCCAGATATTTTTTTTTATAATAAGAAATCTCTTTTTTTTTTTTAGAATAGTGCAGTCGCAAACAAAGATCTCCAGTTCCTTTATACTCATAACAAGTTCTTAGAGCTACTTTTCTTCAATAACTTCTCACAGCTATATTGACAACAATAGCCAAACCAAATGAACCGTAATATTTATATGAGTACTGTTGTTAGCCTTTCCGCTTCATGCTATTTTTTCTCTGATGCTGTTACGCCTATGCTATTCTTTAACTACTGTTACTGTGATTGCTCACTCCTATGGATGTTGTTATTCCTTTTCTTGGTTAGTTCTACAAGTTTACTCATCCACAATTATGTTGACCGTTTGTAATTTCTTTGACCATTTGTGCCATAACTTTCATATTGGCTATGCGTTTTTCTTCTGTAGATAATTATTTCGGATAAAATCAAGTTTGAATTCATTGGCTATTGGAAATTAAATTTGGTTGATCTTGTGCCAACGATATATTCTAATATACAGATGAGAAATCTATTTGATGCATGTAATTATTGCTTCGATTAAATTAAATTTCTTTTTATTTATTTTTTTAATCTTGTGTGTTCATATTGGATGTGTTATTTCTTTCATTGCAGTACAAGTGCAACTTCTTAATTTTAGGAAAAAAAAATCATCTTATTTTGATATGAGGCATGGGTTTCTTATTTTGATGATTTTTTTTTCTTAACCTAATTGCTACATGTTTTGTTATTGCCTTTTTATTTTTCCAATTTCCTTAAAATTTGATGTACTTGGAATTACAGAACGTGATGATTAAATTATATTTGCTTGCTGATTTTGTGTGATTTGAATCTCTTTTTTTTCATATTTGTTTGATCTTTGATTATCATTTTGAATTTAATTATCATATTTATTGATTTGCATCTAAAGAAAAATATGTTTATTTGTATTTAGTGGTCCATGATTTGCAATCTCAACTCTTACATGATTTACATATATTGCATTATTCTAGTTGCATCAGGAAACCTAAAACCTATTATATCTGAAATTATTTTGCAACAGTAGCAAGATTTTGAAGTTACTCATTTATTGCTTTGTTTGGTTGATCAAATTCCGTCTCCAAATTTTTTCAATACACATGTAGGTTGCATTGCAACTTTTATCGCCAAAACTGATACTCTATTGACATTGATGGGTTCTTCGTTTTTGTTTTGGTTCTTAGCTGAAATCCTCCTTACAACTTCATATTGATGGCACAAGTCCGGTTGCTGAGGATATAGGCCGCCAGGTTAAATCTTTTCCTTGTAACAAAGATGAAACGAGCAGCTAAATTTTATTGGATTTTTATGTTAAACCATATTAAAAGAGCTGGATTAAACGATGTTAATGGAGAAGCAAAGTTTTTGGTTTTTACACTATTTATGTAACTTCGCTTCTTTTATTTAAATTTTCAGCTACTTACGTATGGCCGAAGGATACCCGTTGCAGAGCTTTTTGCAAGGATTGATGCAGTTGATCCTAGCACTGTAAAGCGGGTTGCTAACCGCTTCATATTTGATCAGGTAATTATCTCATCATATGTTTGTAATGGAACATGAGCCATTTTGATTTTCTTGGGCTTAGTACCAATATTGAGTCAGGATCAAGAGAGTTTGCTCTACTCAAATTTGTAAATTTTAGTTCCTGCTCCACTTGAATAAATTTCCATTTTTAGTTAACTTGAAGATGAATTTTTTATTTATATGTAAATATTAAATATATAGTAGACATTATACCTAGAGGAGTCGGTCAAATCAGATGTGAAATGGATTTTCTATTGGGAGTGGAGATCGGCTATCTCAAGTTGAGCTAAATTTTGAGCGATTTAGAGTTATTTTTATTCATATATATATATATATATTTGTTTTAATCTGCTGTTTGTGTCTATTTTAGGATGTTGCCATTGCTGCTATGGGACCTATTCAAAAGCTCCCCGACTACAACTGGTTCAGGCGCAGAACCTATATGCTTCGCTACTAAGCCCATTTTGTGCTGCATTTGGCTGTTTATTTGCACACAAGTTGTAAGCTTCAAGTACGCTTGTTTGCTACATTCTATAAATTTATGATCAGGTGGGTTTATGGTAGAAGTATTTTCTTCTATATTGTTTCAATTTTGTTCTGCATTTTCTCAATCTATATCTCCAATGTAGATTTTCTTTTAAACTATTTGGCGCCACTTTTCTCTAGGGAAGAGTATTTTATGCTGTATAATTTACAATAAGATATACTGACTTTGTCGAATAAATATAACTCCGGTGATCCAGAAAGGGCATACTCATCTACTAGGCCGTTTTCTTGTTAGCTTGTTGAGCTTCTCTATATGACTACCTTCAGCTATTGGTTACCAACTAGTTTACTGGCCATATTAGTGAAAGAAGTTTTAATTTGTTTTGAACATGACATCAGTCCATGTGCCAAAATAATTTACATATTTTCCTCTATAAGCAAGCCATGTAAATTTAATTTAACAGAAGATTTGGGCTTACTGTTAATTGATTGATTCAGCAATCTAACTATTGCAAAAATGAAATTGTCATTCTTCTCATCACTTCTAGCTGTGCAGTAATTGTATAGGATAGTCACAATAAGCAGGATGTAAGTTTTTTTTTTCCTTTTATTTTGCATGAGCAACTTCTGTTCAGTTTTATTTGATTTATGGAGCAATTTGTGTTTTTCTTTTGGATTATGGTGATTTTATTTCACAAAAGTAATTATAGATTGGCCAGCCGAAAACATGCAAATGCATCAAAACTCAAATGAGTTTAAAACGTTATTTTTATTTACATTCTTAGCAGGTTACATGCTTTGTACAGAGTTTACAGATTTCGTCTGGCATCTTACACTTAAACCGAAATAAAAGGATAAATTTGCATTCAATATTCAATTATCAATCAACTAAAGTCAGGCTGAGCTTAGAAGATTTTTGAACCATTGTACAGAATCCTTTGGGTATCTCTTTAGGTTGTTGTTGTAATCTACAAAATACAGCCCAAATCTTGAAGTGTAACCTGCAGCCCATTCCCAATTATCCAAAAGGGACCATACAAAATATCCTTGAACATTGCAAGCATCTTCCCTGCATCACACAAGTATGAAATTCAACAACTTTTAAAAAAGTAATATTGATTTTGTTGAGTATTATAGGTGTAAATTCAATTTTATTCAAGTTCTTTGCGCTAATTCAATCGGCATGTCTTATTTGTGCATGTACTTTGTATTTTATATGTTACATGCTTAAATTATATAAGTCTATCTTTTTAATATCATACTTTTAACATTGGTTGTCCAACACTTCTTAACTATGGCTTTGGGTATATTAATTATATAAAAAATTTGTGTTTTGAACTTTTTAAACTTCCATCCATTACCTTAAAAATTTGATCTATAATCTATATAGCATGTCTTTCAAGTCTGAACCCATCTTGATTCCTCAATACCATTTGTTTTATCTAAACCCATGTTAAATTGTCCTCATTTATTAGTTTTATTCCACCGTGATTATCAAAACTCGAACGCCTTTTTTAGACTTTACTATCAAAATAAGACTTTTCTAATTTGTAACTTCTTCCAAGTTTATGATTCGATTAAAAAAAAAAAAACTTTGTTGCCGTATGACTCCAATATTTTCCATTAAATCCATACAGAGCTACGTCAGCTTCAATTTTGATAAAAAGATTTTATGGAGTTGTTTGGTGGGTGGCAATGGGTGGCCGACGGTGTCAGCTGGCGGCGTTTGGTGGTGGCCGACAATGATGAAGACCAGTGGTGGTGGTGGCTGGCAACAATAGAAGGTGGGCGGTGGTGGCTAGCGACAGCAGAAGGTGGGTGGTGGTGGCTAGCGACAGCAGGTGGGTGGTGGTACCTAGTGGTGCCGGTCAAAGGTGGGTAGGGATTTCAATTTTTGACATGACTCGAAACTCGACCCGGACCGACCAAAAAAAAATTGAGTTCGGGTCAACCCGTTTGTGAAACGTGTCGGGTTCAGGTTCAATAAACCGACCCGTTTCAAAAATCGGGTCGGGTTCGGGTTGACCCGCGAACCCGAAAATGACCCGAAATTGCTCCCTGCCCACATCCACTGCCTGGTTGCCCGTTTTGCCCGACATGTCAAATCGTGTGCGCGTCACTGTTCGCGAATCGCGAGTCGCTATGCGACGCGTGCAAACCTGCTTCGGCTTCGCCGCTTGCATGCAAGTGCCCGCTTCGGCGCTTCGGCATTCGCGAATCGCGTCGCGCGTCACTTCGGCCGGGTTCACCAGTTCAGGCTTTAGGACCGGGTTCAGACGCGACGCGACTGCCCGCTGGTCGGTGCCACCTGTTCCGCCTCACCCTGTTGCTGCCGCTTCGAGTTAAGATAACCAAGTCGGGTTGTGTAACCCCGGCACGGGTCCGTGTTGAGATAGTCGACCCGTTTACAAAAACAGGTAGGGTTCGGGTTTACCCATTTAGAATCGGGTCAACTCGGGTTCGACCCGAACCCGACCCATTGACCCGAATTAACACTCCTAGAGGTGGGCGATGGTTGGTGGAGGTGGTGGCGACTAGCGTGGGGGTTTTAATATTTCACTCGACCTGAAAACCCGACCCGAAAATTTTAGGTTCGGGTCAACCCGAACCAGAACCTGGTCAAGTTTAAGTTAGGGGTTTTGACCTGTTTGTAAAACTGACCCGAAATAAACCCCGATTTAACCCGTTTTTAATTTATTTAGGAGTGTTCTAGAAGATTGTTATGAAATAAGTAAATGTTATTTCCAAAAAATAATAAACCATGTTGTTCAAATTGAATTAAGCTTGATTTATTTTAAATTGAAGTAAATCTTACCTTAATTCGATTTAGGTTTAAATAAATCGAATTAAATAAAAATATTTTAGTAAAACATAAAAAGCGGGCCGGGTTCGGGTTTGAAAAATCGACCCGTTTGCAAAAACGGGTCGGGTTAAAAAGTGTCGGGTCAAATTTGGGTTCGACCTGAACCCATACCAAAACCCAATTTTGACAGCCCTAGACTAGTGGCAAGGGTGATGAATTTATAGTTTATTTGGAGCTTGCCCAAATTTGTCAAATTTCAAATGCATTATTTTTTCAAACCAAACATCAATATTCTTACATTTGGAACACTACAACTATTTTACTTAAAAATTAAACAGCTCTTATAAAAATTAGGCTTATTGCTTAAACTCACATTTAAGAATTCCTCAAACTAATTTTTGTATATTTCTTTAATATTCTCAACTATAAAGAGAATTTCTGTATCTTTACTCCTAATGCATCTAATTTGATCGTTGGATCTTCACTCTATATAATCTTTGCCACGTCTCTTTGTAAATTTTTAATTTCTTCATAATCATTCTTACCTTAATAGTATTTCTTTTATCACTTTAAAAACATATTTTAATATATTAATGAATTTTATACCTCCACTATTCATAATCACTTTTTTCCCTTGATAATATTTTAGATCGGGAGCATTCTTCTTTACTGCAACCAACACCATGTAGGCTCCATTTGAGACAATTTTCGTGCTTCTTTTTAAAACATATATTTTTACTAAAATGTCTTGAATTAGAAATTTTTGTTTTAAAAAGCTTTTTTAGGAAGCAGTAAGAAAGCTGTCGCAAAAAAAAGCCTTAATATCAAATCAAACTTCATAAAATTTTAAACTTCAAATTTTTCTCTTTGATAATTTTACTTTGAAATATTAATAATAGTGAATGGCCGAAAAGATGGTGAAAGACAACATCAAATTGTAAAGATAAGGCTCAATTAAAAACACAAATGTTGCACAAAGATAAATGCAATACCTAATAGCAGCAGATAGGTTTCCGAGATAGTCATTGTGATATCCAATCCTTTTCTCATCCTTTAGAGCATCATTAATGGATATAAATGGATTGTTTGAATCATCCATTCCTATAATTAATATTTACAAATTTCAAAGTTCGTATTTTTTGAAAAAATTTGTCTAAATATGTCTTAGATTTTATATTGTACTGACCATTCTCTGTGACAATAACTATAGGGTTGCCATACTTTTGTTTGATGTAGTTCATTAGGCTTCTCATACCACTTGGAACAATATAAAGCCATATGGAGGAGGCCTGCAAGGTAATATAATCCACTTTAGCATATAAAAGTTCACAATGAGAAAATAATGTCAAAGTTTTAGGGCTTATAATTATGTTCAAAATTTTGAAAACCCCTTTATAATTATGCATAATTTAATAAGTACCTTGTCACCAATTGGCTTGAAATTCTTGAAGGCTGTAGATGTTAGAAATATTTATGGTTAGCTAATGAAATCTAGAAAGAAGAAGGAAAAAAATAAAAAAATAATGGACTTATCAACTGTCTATGTTCCATATTTCATCTTCTCACACAATTTAATACTTTATGATTTATCACTTATCATTCCCAAAAAGAAACATCTTAAGAGAATTAAGTAAAGTTAAATATGAAAAAAATGAAGAACAAACTCACGCTGACTAATGGTACCAGAATCTGCCAATGTATCATTGAATAGAACTCCAATTATGTTTGTTGAATTAGCCTTTATGTAATATGTCGTGTAATGGTTTATCCCAACAAAATCCAATGATCCCTTAACCCTTGACGAGTCACTTGCCGAAAACTTTGGCAATCTATTTCCAACTCTTTCTCTCATTGAACTTGGATAATCCCCAAAGAATATGGGATCCATGAACCTATGAGGAAAAAACAAGAAAAGTATCAAATAGATCAACTTGCTTTGCCTAAAATTCTTTTTTTTTTTCCTTCTTGTGGATGCACAACCAAGATTACTTTATATTCGTTCAATTTATTCTCTTGCTGCTCACCATCCAAATTGAAAGTCCAGTGCTCTTTGTACAGCAGCAGTGTCTTCTGTGGAATTTGATATGGGCTCAAACCACGTAACATCAAGTGAAATCCCAACGAAGCCATGCTGTACTGCCTGTGCATTTAAATCCTCTATCGAATCAAAACCTGGTGGTGAATATAACTGTATAGTTTCCTATATTTTAACTTCATATGATAAATAAATCATATGCATATGCTTTCCATACATATTTATATAGTCTTGTCTGAACTACTGTTTAGCTTTTATGAATTCTCATTCCTCTTTCATTTCTGTCATGTAACTTTCTTGCACAACTTCTATGCATGTTATCTTTGATCTACCCATTTTTCTTATTCATTTGTTGACATTAAGTTTTTCAACGCTCATCAAACGTGCATTTTCAATTCTTCATCATACATGTCTAAGGCTTCGTTTGGGACGGCTTTCTTACTGCTTCTGAAAATAGCTTTCTAGTATAAAATTTTAACTTTTGTATTAAAAAACTGCTTTAAGTAGTAAGAAAGCCGTCCCAAACGAAGTCTAAACCAATTAAGTCCATTTTTTTATCATTTTATCAACAATAAATGCATCTCTCATTATCATTATAATAGTAAGAACGTCTGTTAAGATTAGATTACCTTGTATTTTCTCTTATATACATCGACAGCAGTAGCATGAGATAAGAGAATGTTGTGGGCAACCATGTAAGGTTCGGTTGCTGAATTCCCTCCTCTACAGAAGAGGTGCAGGAGAATAGAACAGTGTCCTGGGGCTTCTAGCCCAACATCATATCCTTGGATTGACATTGTATGAGGTTCATTGAATGTTATCCAGTACTTGACCCTGTCTCCAAATGCCTTAAAACATGCCTCAGCATATATTGCATAATCATTTCTGTGATTTGTACCAAATAGTTCTTCTGGTCAGTTCAAAGCAATTTTCTTGCATGAATCATAAGAATGGAAACAATAGAAATAAGCACAAAATGGAATTACATTATATGGGGACTTAGCCATCCATTGTATTTATCTTCTAAGGCTTGGGGAAGATCCCAGTGGAAAAGTGTAACATATGGTTTGATTCCTGCAATTTGAATGCATAAGCTAAATGGTTAATGGCATAAATTCTAATAGCTGAAAAATATAAGTTTATGAGTTCATTTGAAATAGTGATAGGAGCATTTTGTGCTTGCCTTTGGCTAGCAAGGCATTGATGAGCTTGTTGTAGTGGTCAATTCCTGCTTGGTTAATTTTGCCAGTCCCATCTGCATATGCAGTAAATTTCAGAATAAAGTACTAGGAATAGTTTTTTAAGTATAGCATCTGCAACATATTTACTGTACAAGTGTTTTTAAGTTCTAGGATTATCAAGAGCAGATGAAGTTGACTTAGCATCTTGAACGTGAACCAGATAAATTTAGACCAGTAAAAGATCCAGGACTTGCAGCTGAAAACTTGAACTTGTAACTGATTCAAATCAACGTATAGCTGTCTAAGCATAAAATATTATATACTAAATGTAGACAATGATGCCCTTGTGAAGTGCCACGAAGAAAAAATTAAGGACAAGGTTCACAATACACTATTTTGATAGCGGAAGTGTGGCCAAAATTTTATAGCAAAAAATGTATCTGCTATGAGAACCAAGATTGCTGTAAATTTTTACAGTGGTCAAAAGCTTCTCTTGATTATGATACAATTTGAGGAGAACTTATTCTGTGCGGTCACCGGACGTCGTCTGGAGGCGAATTAGGCTGCGTCATGTCACTTTTTTGATGTGTATCGATATTGTGTACACTTTTGTACTGGATGACGCGGCGCTTTCTGATTTGCCTCCGGACGGTCCGGTGACCGCACAGAAAAATTTCCCCAACTTGAGATCATATTGGATGGATGAGTCGAACTACAATTGGATCAGCACAAAACCTAATCATTAACGGCTCTAATTTCATTGTTAATTTTACTAACACTTACCTTTAAGATTGAATAGAATAGTAGTAAAAATTGTGATGACTAATAGCATCATGAAGAAAATTAGCCACTTGGAGTAAACTGTAATGGCTTGCTATCACTGAAAATATTTACTTGGAAAAATACGAGACCATGCAATTGAAAACCTATAGGCATCCATTCCCATATCAGCCATAAGTTGCACATCCTCCTGTATTAAGAAATGTTTGCGCAATCAGAGCATACATATTGAGAGCAACAAAGCAGTAAGAAGAAAAAGGAAGTTGACCTCAAACAGGTGATACTGATCCACAGCTACATCAGCATTGCTGAAATCAATCACCTTCCCTATATAGAAGATTATAGACATTATCATTATTCTTATAAGGGAGAAGGGAAGAAGGATCATCTATAGAGTTGCATATATTGAGATTAATGAACAAAATCAATCATCAGACTCAAGATACTTCAACCTCTAGGGCTCATTTGGTTGCTTGTGTTGAGGGCAAATTATTAGGTCCGGTCACCTGACAGAGAGATGCATTCGGATTTCTCTCTGTCTACAGTGAAGCGCGGTCAAAGCGAAGCTGCTACAGTAACCGCGCTTTGACTGTGCTTTTACTGTAGACAGAGATAAATCCAAATATATCTCTGTCAGGTGACCAGATGCAATAATTCGCCTACAGGCATGTGATATCATAGGATTCAGTCTCATATCAAATAGGTGAAAGTATGAGTGGTCGCGCCCCACTTTAGGAATGGTATGTGATGTAGGATGCATTTTGCTACTAATTTAGTATTTCATGTTTTTAGATTAATATATCTAGACTTTTTGTGTTGAAAGTCTATATGTGGAGAAATTATTCTGTGCGGATATCGGACGGTTCCGAGACCATCCAGAACACGCCACCTCACCCGATACCGAGTGGTACCGAGCACTGGTATCAAGCAAAAAAGTGATGTGGCCTGTTCTGGTTGGCCTCCGGACGCCGTCAGGGGTCCGCACATAATAATTTTTCCTATATGTGTGTGTAAGCTTAGTATATAGTTTATTTTTTGGTCATCTTAGTTAAAGAGGGATATTGAGTATTGTGTTTTATTGAGTCGTATTATATTTTGGGCTTGTGCTTAGGGTTATGTCATACTTGAATAGCATGTTGGGTCATTTTGTGTGTCACGAATCATATTGTGTCTTCGTGTTATTAGGTTAGTGGTATTTATAAGGTTGGTGATAGGTATATAAATGGTGATATGTTTGAATTTAGTGGGAGGTCTGGATACGATGTAGGTTTGACTATTTATTTTAGTATTGTTTAGTGTCTTCCATTTTTTCTTATTAGTAAGGAGTCTCTTGCAATGTTAAATATTTGATTTTTTAGATGATTAATTGAATGAAAAGGGTACCTTTTTAGTGCATTTGCTAGTGTATTCTCTTCCATCTAATTAAATCATCTCTTAAGTGTGAGTGACTAAAGAAAATCACAATTGCGATGAAGGACTACTTGTCGAAGTTAGGGGTGTCAAGATTTGACACGATCCAAAAATCCGATCCAAATTTGACCCGAAAATTTTGGGTTCGAGTCAACCTGAACTCGAATTGGGTCAGACTCAGATTAGGATTTTGACCCGTTGGTTAACCTAGTCGGGTTCGGGTTGACCTAGAAGAAACCAACCCGATTTGATCCATTTTTAATTAATTTATAAGGGTTTTAAAAGATTATTATGAAATAAGTAAATGTTATTTCCAAAAAATAATAAACCATGTTGCCCAAACTAAATTAAGCTGGGTTTATTTTAAATTGATTAAAGTAAATATTACCTTAATTTGATTTAGGTTTAAATAAATTGGAATAAATAAATTTTTTTTAGTAAAACATATCCAAAACGGGTCAGGTTTATGTCCGAAAAATTGACCCGTTTGTAAAAGTAGATGGGATTATGATAAGGTTGGACCCGAACCCAACCCGTGACCTATTTTTGACAACCCTAATCGAAGTAACCTTAGTTACAATAACCATGTGCTATCTTTGAAGACGGACTTGCAAAAAAGGAAAATCACGACTGCGATGAATGTCTAAATACTGTTTGTATAGTTAATTTTCATTATCACCAGTTACATTAATGATTAGTCTAATTTTCATCACATAAATTTATTGTCCCTAGTTCTTATATCATTCTTTATTTATTGTGATATCATCTTATTTATGCTTCGTTTGTGACAATTTTCTCATTACTTTTTAAAACAATTTTTTAGTACAATTTTTTTTTTAAAACTATGCATTTTTGTACTAAAAATTTGATTTAAAAAGTAATAAGAAAACTATCTCAAACAAAGCCTTAATTTTTCACTTTTGCTCACCCATTAAAACATTAAGAACATCATCTTTGCTAAATTTTTTGTTTACCAAAAGAATGGGCAAACTTGTCCCACACTGTGGGTCCTCTTCCATCATCATCCACTGCTCCTTCATACTGCAAGTAAGAGAGCTAATTTATCAAATACAATAAAAGAAGTTAGAAAATTTAGGTGAAAAAGAAAAACATCTTTAACAATATCCATCTTAGTTGCTTGTGAGCTTATTAAATATCCAATATCCATCTTGGACAGGCAGGCCTATAAGAGCTGAAATGAACGGTTCTGATCATCTCTTTGCACATAATTGAGTTATCTTTAAGATTCGAAAACACTTTGCTTATTTGCACAGATAGTAACCCTTCCAAGCTTTTCATCTTCGAGACTGGTTTCTGAAGCTAAAACATTTGTAGATTTCTCAAGCTTTCTCATCAGAAGCTAAAGGTTCCTTATATTCAGAGAGGAAATATGTTTAATGTATCTCTTTTGTATCATTTTTTTTATGATCTTTGAACTAAGCCAAAATAATTTACTTTGTATGTGAAATATTGAAAAAAATCATCATTTTGGTCAAAAAATTTTATATGAATTAATAAGTATAAGAACATGGTTATAATCAGCGGTTTTACCGCCGACATTTACCGGGTGTTCTAGCCGCCAAAAAATAGTCGTTGGACTTACTTTCTAATGTGGTTCTTTCCCGCGGTTTGTAAAATGCCCGAAAAACGTCGGAAAATTTTTATATAAAAGTAGTATGATTGTTTCACGTAAAGATTAGGACATTTGTATCAATCCATGAATGGAGAAACTAAGAACCAATTGAAGAAAAAAGGAAAAAGCAAAACTTTCAGAAGAAATAGAATGTAAAACAGCTTAACCTCCTATGAAGCAGCAGCAGTTCCAAAAATATTTCAGAACAAAAAGAAAGAAGCAGTTCCAAAAACATTTAAGCAGAATTTAACAAGTTTTAATTCTCTAAAAATTTACTAAGTCTGAATTTACAGTAACCTGGTATGAAGAAGAAGCAGTTCCAAAAACAAATCCATCACGAAAACTTCCTCTACTCAATCCTCTGCATTCCTGAGTCATGCAGAGCGTCAAAAGAATGGCCAAAAAGCCTCCTTTGAACGCCATTAAAGCTCCAAAATGAACGAAGGGAGAGATTCGAACAGAAACTAAGCTCAGATCTTTGCATCAGAATGAAACGAAAGAAAGGATTTTTATAGAAGAAATGAAAGTGAAAGCTCAAATCACTGTCAACGTGTTTGTCTGTTAGAGTGCGTCCGTTAAAAGCTGAATGAATTCGAAGCTCAAACGTCTAAAAAACAAAGGCACGCAACTCTTAACCTATCTTAATTTATTAACGTGACATTGTGATAATATTGTTTGAGTAATTTTATTGATATATTAATATTTTTATTTTAAAATTTATCTCAACATTAGATAATTAAATTCTTATTCATTATAAAAATAACTTTTGATTTCAAAAATAAGATTAAATTAAAATGGGAGCATATAATTTTGTCATCCTCTGAGCATAATCATAGCATATATTTTTCACCAATTAAATAATTTAATTCTATCCTTAAAACTTAAATTTCCCATCACTTGATTTAGACTTAATTTGAGACAATTTTTTTTACTGATTTTTAAATATGCTTTCTTATATATAAATATATATTGTATTAAAAAATTATTTTAAGATGCAATAAAAAAGTCTGTCGCTTAACTCATGATACTTACTGAGTGCACAAAATAATTATTTATTTAACTTTGAGTCATATATACAATTATTTATTACTCTTTATTAAATAAAAAAGGTCTATTTTGACTGTGAAGAAACGAACAAGAAACAGCCGAAGTTGTCTAAAAAAAAAAATCAGATCAGATGAACCTAAGAAGTACTGACGGAATCCAAAGCCCATGTTAACGGAGAAATCAACACAGATCCATCCTGATGCCGTCGCTGGATCTCCGATGAACCTGTAAGAAAGAATCGCAAGCCAAGCAATGGAACAGGGAAACGGAGCTGTATGCTCCTGTATTTCGTATATTTGATAATTGGTAAAAGTTGTGTAATGAGCCCTCAGCTAAGCTCTCCTATAAGTATATTTTCTATTGTTGTAGCAGAAAATACTATAAAAGTAAAAGGCAACATAAAAGCAAACTATTGGAGCAGAAATAAGAAATGGAATATGCGGTAGTGGATGGCGTATCTGTTAGTTAGTCCCGGTTGTGGTATGCCGCAGGAACACTATACTGCATCAGTCCTCCCCATGCTCCGAAGAGCTCGACTCCGACGAGCTGAGGCTGATGACACCGGCATCGGGTGGGGAATACGGCCAAATATCCGCAACGTTGAAGGTTGCCGAGGTGTTGCAACCAGCCGGTAAAGCCACAGAATAAGCATTGTCGTTGATCTTAGCAGTAATAGGAATAGGCCCAATTTTGCGGCGAGAAAGTTTAGAATAGGTGCCCGGCGGAAACCTTTCTCGACGCAGTCTCACCATGACTAGATCGCCCACGTTAAACAAACGTTGGCGGCGGCGCTTGTCAGCCGCTTCCTTGTACCGCATATTGGACTTGAGGATTTGGCGACGAACCTCAGCTAGCATATCCGCAAAATCTCCAGCAAAAGTAGCAGCAGCTTGTGATTTGCATTTGGGCAAGATGGAGAGATCAAGAACGGTGTTGGGGGGCTTGGTATAGACAATGCTAAATGGTGTCTTGCCTGTGGTCCGACTGGTAATTGAGTTGTAGGCAAACTCGGCTGTACTAAAAAAAACTTCCCATTGGCGAGGATGTTC